ACTGAAAATAGAAAAATTATCTAGTCATGGTGGTACACACCTGTTGTCCCAGCTACTTGGGAGGCTGAGGCAGGAGGATTGCTTAAGCCCAGGAGCTGGAGGTTGCAGTGAGCTACGATGACACTACTGTACTCTACTCAGGGTGACAGAGCAAGACTTTGTCTCAAATATATATATATATATTTTTTAAATAACCATGTTTTTCTTTTTTTCTTCCCCCATTTAAGTTATCTCTATCAATTAAATATGTTTCTTGATTTCTAAATGTCCAGATTTTTGCATATGCTGATTAACTCCTTCATGAGCTTTCATGATTTTCAGAATGCAACATGCCTTCACCCTCTGAAGCCCTAAAGGGGTCTTCTATCTCTGTGAAGTAAATTTCAATTATTTTTGTGCTTATTTGCTGAGCTTGTCTACATCTATATAAAGTTATCCTGCAGTGACTCAAGCTAAACGTGCCCATTTTCCCAGCCTGCAACTGATGTGCTTCCCAACTATATAAGGGACACACAGCTCAGAAATGGGTACTACCCTTTATCATGATGCTCAGGCCCTCAATCTGGTGTCTTCCTTGATTCTCTCTCTCTCTTCCTTACCCCCACACTCAGTTTATCTCCTGTTGATTCTTTGTCCTCAGTGTCTCTCAAATATGCTGACTTTGCCTGGTGCCCACTGCCATCTCCCTGGCTCTAGCTCTAATACAGACTGTCATAACTTTTCACCTGAATGACTGCTTTATAATTAGTCCCTATACATCTATTATTCCCATGTGTGTAGAGCAGATAGGATGATCTTGTTGGACTGTAAATTCTACCATGTTAATGTTCCAAGTGACAATACTGAATGTCCTTCCATGCCAAAAGTGCAGAGACCAGATTCCTTAACATGGCTTCTGGGCCCCCAATGACCTGGCCCTCCTCAAACATCTCTTGCCACTCTCTTCACCATTAAGCTATACCCAAATTGTGGATTTCTTGATGTCACCAAACTTTTAAACCTCTCAGCCCTTCTGTAGCTGTTTCTTTGGCTCACAGAATACCAATTCTCCTTCTCTGGGAAAAGGAAGTCTTCCTTAACTCTCTGAGTCAGGTTAGATTTTCCTTCTCTTGTCTCCCACACTCATCATACTTTGTAACCCCCTGCCCTATGCCTGTCTTCCCACTAAAATGTAAGTTCCAGGAGGAGGGGCCATGTCTGTTTTGTTCATTCTGGCATTCCTAGCACTAAACACAAGGTAGTAACATAAATACTTGTTACCTAAGTGAATTATGTGACTCTAGCAGAAAACTTAGCATAGAGAAGAATTGAGAATGAATATGATTATTAGAAACACAAGAAAAATGTTCCCCTAAAAGGCACAACTGATCACATTTAATCATTGGTAAAATATCTGTAGCATTCCAAAGTGTAAAACCCAAATATTAAGTCTGCAGTCAACTTTGCACTTCATCAGACCTACAATCCAGGCTGCTGTTTAGCTACCCAAGCTGATATCCCGGGCTGACTCATCTTAGTTTGACTGTCTGAGGTTAGCTTCCACAGCTGTGGTAGCATTGACACTGCCAATCATTTGCATTTTTGACAGAGTTTAAATGGAGGAAGAAATCAACAACTTTCAGAAGACTTATTTTTCAATCATCTGGCATTATTCTCCATAGATGCCCATTTACAATTCTCTCAAATTACATATATTCTTCAGAAGAAAATAAAAACAGAGAATGGAACTTGAGGCTATATTCCTAAGTTTTTAACTTGTCCTTGGTACATAAATCTAAATAATACATGGTCTTTGAAAGTAAAATCTAAATTTTCCCCCAGTGCTAAACTCAAAGTTAGAGCAGTTAGCCTTCACTCCAGGCACTTCAGGCTTGTGCTAAGTGCTGTGGTAGAATTGTATTTATGTATGTATGATGTGTTTCATAATATACTATGACCTTCTACTTATTGTCACTCTAGGATTCTTCAGACAACAGCTGGTCATTTTACTCATACCACTGTCTGGGAAACAGTGTTACAAAGAACACAGGAGAAAAAAATCCTGAGCCTTTAAAAGCTCAAAAGCTTCAAAAGCCCAAGCCCTAAAAGACTTGGGGCATAATATTTTCAAAAACCACGTAATCATGGCAGTGCTCATAGCTTAGTGGGTAGGATGTTGGCCACATACACCGAGGCTGGCAGGTTCGAACCCAGCCCAGGGCTGCTAAAACAACAATGACTACAACAAAAAAAATAGCCAGGCCTTGTGGTGGGTGCCTGTAGTCCCAGCTACTTGGGAGACTGAGGTAAGAGATTCTCTTAACCTCAAGCGTTTGAGGTTGCTGTGAGCTATGATGCCATAGCACTCTATCCTGGGTGACAGCTTGAGACTCTGTCTCAAAAGCAAACAAACAAACAACAACAACAACAACAAAAAGACAAAGCCATATAATCAGCTGGAATGTTTTTTCTACCCTCAGATTAGATTTTTTAAAAAAAATCTTTGCCAATAGAAAGATAGAGGAATGCATATGAGGAAAGAGGAGAGGAGAAAGGGTGAAAGATGACAGGGAAGAAGATAGGAAAGGAAGACTGAAGAAAGCAGAGGAGAAAGAGGAGGGGAGGGAGAGCCCAAAGGAAGCAAAAGGGTGAGATTCCAAGGATTTCCCCACATAGGTGTCTGTTACAGACCTTCCCAGGGTCAATCCAGATGGGGAGAGTCAGTACCTCTGTATAGGTTTGGGGATCTAAGAGTAACCAGGCACCCATTCTATCTTTCCCTGGTAGGATTGAATAAAAGCAACAAGACATCAGAGTTTTCCTATCACTGGGTCAGTTAAGATCCATTGAGCAAGACAGAAACAAATGTGAGTATTTGAATCTCAGGATATTTAATTTTAGCAGGGAATAAGCTACCTAGGTGGTAGAGAAACTGACAAAATCTAGAAATTAGCAGCAGTAGGAAGCCACTACTAGCCCTATGCTGGAAGGACTGTGGGAAGAAATAGTATTATTGAAGCCCAGGGGCCATGGTTACCCAAGAAACCAGGGACCACAGCAGTCCTGTTTAGAGGGAGCAGAAGGAAAGGGAGTTGAAATGATGCAAAGAAAGGTAAAGGAAAATGCTGGCTTCTCCCTTCTACTGACACTTTAATCACTCACAAATGCCTCAAAAGTACCAAACCAAACTTGGAATCTAGCTGACTCAGGTTAGCCACTCTAGCGGAGCAAGGGGAGAGTAAGGCATGGTTTTGTGGGCAAATATATTCATGTCTGTAGGGGCTGCCTCAGACTATGGACTTAAGATAACTTCACAGGATTGCTATGCCCTACCATGCCCAAAGGCAGATATGACAAGGGAGCCTGAAGATGTGAAAGGAAGGAAGACATATCAGGGATCAACCTGGACGGAAAAATAAGACCAATGGACCCTCACAAATCTCACTGAATTACAGCTTGGACAGAAAATGACAGTGAGAAGACAGTCACTGACCCGGCCAAAATGAGTTGATTATGCGTATTTACTTGCCACTCGACTCTCACATCACACTTGGATGACATGGGAAGGAGGAGGTGATAATCTAGCAGAAGAGGCTGAATCCAAAATGATTCATAGAAAATAATACAGAAAGAAAAGTGGATCAAGGAACAGATACAACCCTTCATGTAAAAGAGCCCACTGAATGTTGGGAAGGAATGGACACATAACACAGATGTCTTTAATGTAATGAGAAACCGAAAAATAGCTTATGATAAAGGAGGCACTGGGGCTGGAGAAGGCTCTCACAGACAGATGATATTTGAACAGGGATTTAGTAAGCAGATGGGGAAAGGATCTCTGTTGTCTTTCTATCTCCCTCCCCATGCACTGATTAACTATAACCCATTAAAGTCTTTCAGAAACATGGCTGATCTCTTGGGGTCTATCCCACTTTTAATTAATAAATGGGGCAGCCTCAGAGTGGTAAGATAAGCATGGTGAGTAGCATCATCAGCTGGGGGAGAACGAGTTCCTTAAAATGTGTTCTTTTGTAAATTTGATGGGCCATTCTTAGATTTTAGTCTTGAACCAAAGACTTAGAGCTCAATGCACTCCGTACTCTTAAAGAATGTGAAATTCACAAGAAAAATATAGTTAAGCCACTTAAAACACGTTATTTCTGCACTGACCAAACTTCCAAAATGAAACAAATTTTAGATTATCATGAAATACTATAATTTATCAGGATTTTCCTCAAAATACTGTGGGGCTTTTTGTTGTTGTTTTGAGGGAGGGTCTCACTCCATTACCTGACCTAGAGTGAAGTGACATCTTCATAGAGTCCTGTAACCTCCAACTCCTGGGCTCAGGCCTCCTGCCTCAGCATTCCAAGTAGCTGGGAATACTATGCCACCATGCCCAGCTAACTTTTCCACCTTTTGTAAAAGTGGGGTGTCACTCTTGCTCAGCTTGGTCTCCAACTCTTGGCCTCAAGCAATCCTCCTTCTTCAGCCTCCCCAAGTGCTAGATTACAGGTATGGGACACCTCACCTGGCCTATGTTTTGTGATTTTTTAAGCAAAGAAAAAAGACTAATGGCTTATAAATAAACTTACTTATCACTATTCTAGAAATAATATCCTAAACTTACCTTCTTTTATCATCTAATTATGAAAGTTGTAAAACTAATTGTTGTTCTTTCCATTGTTTACAAAATAAAAAATGAGGGTGGTGCCTGTGGCTCAGTGAGTAGGGTGCTGGCCCCATATACTGCGGATGGTGGGTTCAAACTATCTCCAGCCAAACTGCGACAAAAAAATAGCTGGGTGTTGTGGTGGGTGCCTGTAGTCCCAGCTACTCGGGAAGCTGAGACAAGAGAATTGCCTAAGCCCAAGAGCTGGAGGTTGCTGTGAGCTATGATGCCACCATACTCTACTGAGGGTGACAAAGTAAGACTCTGTCTCTAAAAAAAAAAAAAAAGGAAAATGACTATATTACAAAAAGTAATAAAAGTCATTGAACTGTTTGGAATATTTTTTTACCTCATCAGAAATCTTTGTTCCAGAGAGATCTACCGATACCAAGGATAAGATATTTACAATATACTCAAGTCCTCCGTCAGTCAAATGTTCACAATTTCGTAAACTCAAGTAGTTTAAATTATAGCAGCTGAAATAAAATAGCATGAATTAATTTTAGCTTTCAATCACATTGTCAGTTTAGTTTCAACTATCTTTGGAAAATAAATGGCATTGAACAAAGGAAAGCCTAAAAGTGGAAAATAATTTGGCATTACAAAGTTGAGTGAAATGGAAATAGATTATTATACACATATAAAACTTTCTCTTGGTGATTTAGTTTTATATTGTCATTTCAAGTAAGAAAAAAAAACATATCATATGCATATAAAAACTATCACAATAAAATGACCACTAAAGTGTAAGTTAAGTTCCTCACTTATCCCTTACAAATTTGCTAAACAAATTACGCAAGACCTCTGACAAAAGGGGACTCATGAATAAATTAACCAGCCAGAAAACCTCTTGGGAAATACTGGAGTAAGGGTTTGCATGAAGATAACATGAAAAGTTACAGATAAGTCACTCATGTGTAGACATTCATTACTTCATGCATGACTCCACCTCTAACTTTCTCTTGGGTGAAATTAATAAGAAACATCTTAGGTATAATCAAAAGATCAGTTCAATCTATACTTTGATGTCTTTTATTTGTTTTCACTGGATATGGGACCAGCTGAACATCTCCAGTGTTCTCCAAATGTCTTAAAGTCTTTGCTTTTAGGTCTATCTCTCATTTCTATTATCAAATATACAGTTACTAATGATGATGTAAAATATTTTATCATACCGATCTGATAGTTTCATAGCAGAGAAATCAGTCAGTTGCACACAGTTACTTAAATTTAGTTCTCTTATACTTATGCTTGCAGGACCATCAAGAAAGTGCTTTATTCCTATATCACCAATTCTGTAGGAAAGAGTGAAAAAAGCTTCACATGTGATTTTATATATGAATATACAGACTAATATTAAATTAATAGTCACTATACCCAATATATTTCCAAAATATCAAGGTAATATATATACTGGTATTTTGTCAACATTTTAAAACAAAATTTGATCATGTAGCCTTTAATGTAATGAATGAAAGCAATGGAAGAAGTATCAATAAAAATATTTCTGTCCAATATTTCATTTAATTAGGTGGCATACTTTTTAATAAGACAGATAACTCTTAAGATCTCTTTCTCTTTGGTAAAAATGTGATCAAGTTAAGCAGTATCTGACACCATCTCCTGTGTAAGAAAAAGAACTGAATAGTCCCATGTTTAAGACTGAAAGAGGATCTGTACCTTTCACCAGAAAATTAACTTGTGATGGATAAAAGAATTAAACCTAAGGCAGGAAATGATAAGAATTCTAGAAGAAAATGTCGGAGAAATTGTTATAGATACTGGCCTATGCAAAGAATTCATGAAGAAGACCCCAAAAGCAATTTCCACTACAACAAAAATAAGCAAATAGGACCTAATCAAATTAAAAAGCTTCTGCACAGCCAAGAACACAATCAAAAAAGCAAATAGAAACCTCACAGATAGAATGAGAAAATATTCACATGTTATACATCTGATAAAGGTGTATAATCAGAATCTATGAAGAACTCAAGCAAATCAGCAAGAAACAACCAAACAACCACATTAAAAAGTGGACGAAAGACATGATCAGAAACTTTTTAAATGAATATATACTAATGGCCAACAAACTCAAGAAAAAATGTTCAATGCCTCTAATCATTAGAAAATGCAAATCAAAACTACAATGAGATATCACCTAACTCCAATGAGAATGGCTCATATTAAAAAGTCTCCAAACAAGGGATACTGGTATGAATGCAGATAGAAAGGAATTCTATAGACTATTGCTGGGTCTGAAAACTTCTGCAACCTCTATAGAACACTGTATGGAGATACCTCAAAGAACTTAAAGTAGACCTATCATTTGACCCAGCAATCCCACTGCTGGGTATATACCCAAGGGGAAAAAGGTCACTTTATAAAAAGGACACCTGCACTTGACTGTTCATAGCAGCAAAATTCACAATAACAAAGAAGTATAAACAACCCAGGTGCCCACCAATACCTGAGTAGATTAATAAAATGTGGCACATGCATACTGTGGAGTATTATTCAGCCATAAAAAGGTGATCTAGTATCTTTTTGGACAATGTGGAGGGAACTGGAAACCATTCTTCTAAGTGAAACATCACAAGTACTCATGTACTCAATTCCAAATTGGAACTAATCAATCAATGTAAGTGCTCATATGGAAATAAACCTCAATGAAAATCAAGGTGGAGGAGGGGGGCATGGGGGTGGGTAAATTCCCACATACTGGGTACAGTGCACACTATCTGGGTGAAGGGCACACTTACATGTATAAATTTAATTCAATCTGTACAAAAACGAAGTATGTAAGCCAAACATCCATATTCTCTGACATTCTGGGAGGAAAAACAGAAATAAAAAGACCAAACTTAGGAGAGGAAGAACCATGACTAGAATCAAACCACTAGAGGAATGGTGAAGATTACAGTAAATATAAGGTCAACTTAGCTGAACTGGAATCCCAAAAAAGAGAATTTACAGCTCCTTTCTTTCCTTTTGAATCAGAAAATACCCGATGGTGGAAGACTCTAACCTCAGCCTTTCAGATTATCTTTCCTAATTAGAAAGACCTTCTATGTGTCAGTGCCATACCCCTACCGTCTAGCAGGCCCATCGGTTTTTCTGTCTTCCATTGGAATCTTTATTTCTAATTCCATTGAAATTAGTTCCACCATTTCCTTCTAAAAGAGCATTTTAGGGAACAAAGCAGGATAAGAGATCGTATCAATGCAATCTAACAGGCAGTTTTCACACATGACAACCTGACAGATGCGTGCATAGATGGAGAAATATTGGAAGAAGTACATGCTAACTGCTGACATCTTCTATACCCTCCATTTGTTCATATCTGCAATGAAGTGAATAGTAAAGGCAAAAAGTGAAATTCTGTTTCAGCTGAAAAGGACATAGTAAGTGGATGCCTGTCGTGCCCATCACCCCACCTTTTACCTGTCATGTGAGAGGGTGACTGTGCCAGTACCCATGAAAGCAGTTAAGAACCCATGGGTAGCATGAGTCCTAGGGAGGAGGGGAGTCCAAACACAACCAATCGACTTGTCTCTTGCCAAATACCATGTCTGGAGTATGTACTGAGACATTTTCACTAACAAGAAAATAAAATACAGCATGGGATTTATTAAGACTGAGTAAGCACACCACTGGAAATGATTTTAAAAAGAAAAAAGAAAAATATTAGGACATTTTGAACAGAGTGAAGGAGAAGTAGGAATTATTGAAAGACCCAGCTAAAATAAAAATAAAGAGAATCTAAGACATATTCTGAGATGAAAAGTGGGCATCTGATATAAGAACAGATGGCAAAGAAAATAAAATGCCAATGATAAAAAATAAAATAATAAATAAAGTTTCAATGAAGAATTTTAACTAGTTTAAGACATCAAAACCAAAAATTGACCTTTTAGAACATTAGAAAGTAGAGGACATACTTGAAAAGTTTCCTGTGAATGCTGAAGATAAGGGTAAACAATTTAAAAGAAATGAAATAGAAAATAGAGAATTTAGATTCAACCTTTAAATAAAGAAGATTCTTGGGAAAAGTTAAGAACAAATAAAGGCAAATTAATAATTACAGATACATAAAAACTTTTCAAATTATAAAGCAGACATATAGACACAAACACATACACACACCTTAGAATTTCACCTTTTGCCTTTACTGTTCATTTCCTCGCAAATGTAAACAAACAGAGGGTATAAAAGATGTCAGCAGACAGCATGTATGTTGTGTGTATGTGTCTCTCTGTTATTTAGCACTATGTCACAAATTGACCCAGATTTTATGGTTTAAATGGCAAACATGTATTACCTCCCAATTTCTAGATCTCAGGGATTTAGAAATGGTCCAGGGTAGTTCTAGCTCGGGGTTTCTTGTGAACTTGCAATCAAGATGCAACCTGGGGCTTCAGTCATCTGAAGGCTTGATGGAGCCAAAAGGTCTGCCACCAATCTTACTTACATGGCTGTGAGCATGAGGCCTTAATTCTTTGTTGGCTGTTGTCTGCAGGACTCAATTTCTTAATTCAGATTTTTCCCATTTTGATCCTTATGCCTGCCCTGATCCTTGCTGACCAAAAATTCCCCTCCCTGCCCCCCGTTTAATAACAGGGCACACAGGTTAAGATTCTGTGTTGCTTCATTTACTACTCTCACTTGTCTTGTGTCTCCCCAAATGTCAGCTACCTTAACTGTAGATCAAGCACTATTTTGTTATCATCTGGCCCTATAAGATTATAAGAAATCTACACAGGTATGAGGCTGAGATATCCATTGGGGGAAAGTTTTCAGCAGGAATTTGATCTTTGGCATCCTGAAAATACCAGGATAGTAGCCCAGCTAAAGAAAGGGTTTCAGGGTGGCACCTGTGGCTCAGTGAGTAGGGTACTGGCCCCATATACTGAGGGTGGTGGGTTCGAACTCGGCCCCGGCCAAACTGCAACAAAAAAATAGCCAGGCGCTATAGCGGGCACCTATAGTCCCAGCTACTCGGGAGGCTGAGGCAAGAAGATCGCCTAAGCCCAAGAGCTGAAGGTTGCTGTGAGCTATGACACCACAGCACCCTATCAAGGGCGACAAAGTGAGACTCTGTCTCTAAAAAAAAAAAAGAAAGAGTTTCAATAAGAATTCACCATTGTCCACCATTGTCTTTTGGTTATAAAACCTAAGAAGAGAAATGTAACCAGTTCCCAAAAGGACAACCTTCAGTAAGACTGGTTCTTCATAAGCAAGTCAGAAAGAATCCATATGGGAAAAGATCCTGTTAACTGAACCAGCTGTGCAAACCTCTCTAGGAGAGATAGCCTGTAAGTGTTCCTGTGAATTCACTTAATCTTCCCTGGGTCTGTGATGTCCCATATCCTGAACATTCCTTGGCAATTTCCATGACCCTCATATGATCAGTCTGGGTTGGATAGCCCTCCTTGTTACCACAGAATTCTGAACTTACCATTACATTAAGACCTGGACTCCTGACTTTTGTGCTTACCAGGAGCTCCTTGAGAAGAGGGTGGGGCACATGCAATATAATCAATGTTTCTTGCACATATGACTGAATGACTATTACCTCATACAATTGGCCAAATTCAACACAGTCAGTCTCCTCAAATGAGACAGTGGCTTGAGGCTACTATCTGTTATTCCTTTACAGTCTGCCATGTAGATATGACTGATATTTGGATAATTCTTATCCATTAATTTGAAGCATGTATCAGTAATCCTTTTATTCCCTGTTTTAAATAAAACAGAAGACAAGACAAATGTTGTACATATAATGCCACAAGAATAAAAGTAAAAAATAATGCCGAACCACATCATTTTAAATATCACAGACCTTCAAACCGTATCTTTCTGAGGCTGCAAATAGAAAGAGCTTTGAAAGTACTGTCGGAGATGTGTGGTGCACCAATGAAAATCACTGACGTAATACGAAGGCACTTTTCAACTAAAGCCTTTAGAAGAAAAAAAAAACATGATTAAATTGTCCACACTGAATAGAGCAGGCTTGGCAAGGTAACGAGGCTATTTTTTCTCTCAGTATTTCCAGAAACTGACACATTAACTACTAAATTTTCTTATTTTCAAAGAAAATGGAATTTTTTTCATATATTTTACACTTATATTTAAGTAATGTGGAACAATGAGAATTAAATCATGTAATAAGAGTATGGGAAAAGATGAGAACATGTACTACTAAAAAAAAGTAACTATATTTGGCAGCTTGACACAAAGAACCAGACTTTCATTTTGTGCTTAGGCTATAGTATCACAGAACAACAACAACAAAAATACTAACTGTGAAACGAGGCATCTTAGGGTATTTAAGATTCCAGATGTTTCTTGAGGTGCATGTGTGTGTGTGTGTGTGTACATGCAAATTTTTTAATGGTTTTCTTACTATTAAAAAATAGTTAAAAGGAAAAATTCATTCATACTTTCCAATAACTCAAGCCATTAGAATATGTGTCTATCTAATGGGATTGAAAAGAAAATGCACATTTCAGCTACCTACTTTTACACAGTTGTCTGTCAGAGTTGGCATATCATTGATGGTCAGATGCATAATTCCAGAGCAGCTGCTTGCAATGTTCTTAAAGCCTTGCACTGAAATCTGAATAGTACAAAGGAGGTGAAAGAATGCATCAGCATGTTAGCTAACAAAACCCCAAGGTAGTAATAACTAAAGGTATGCTATAATTTTGTTACTATGTTTTAAAATTAACCCCAAATTACAGCAGACACAAGAAGGAAAGAAAGAATCTAGTCTTTAATTTAATTTTCTATTCTTATTTTTATTTATTTTTTTGAAAAGGGATCTCACTCTTGCTTAGGCTAGTCTCGAACTTGTGAGCTCAAGCAATCCACTCACCTTGGCCTCCCAGAGTGCTAGGATTACAGGCGTGAGCACTTAGCCCTATTTAATTTTTATTAAGATGAAATTCATATGATAAAAAATTAACCACTTAAACCAGGTACGGTGGCACATATCTGTCATCACAGCTATTCAGGAGGCTAAGGCGGAAGGATCTCTTGAGCCAAGACATTTGAGGCCAGCCTGAACAACATAGTGAGACCTCGTCTCTTAAAAATTAAAAAAAGAAAAAAAAACTAGCCACTGAAATAAGTCCCTTAACCATTTATAATGTTGTGCAACTACCACCTGTATCTAGTTCCAAAACATTTTCATCACCCCAAAAAGAAAACTTGTACCCATTAAGCAGTTGCTCTCAATATTCCCCTCCTCCCAGGCCCTGGTATCACTAATCTGTGTTCTTTATGGATTTGCCTATTCTGAGTATTTCATATAAATGGAATTAATACAATACATAGTATTTTGAACCAGATTTCTTTCACACAGTGTAATGTTTCTGAGGCTCCTCCACCTCAGAAACATTATCCTATTATCCTATTCAACGGACAGACCACATTTTGTTTATCCATTAATTTGTTGATGAATATTTGGATTGCTTCCATCTCTTGGATATTTTGAATAATGCTGCTGTGAACATCCATATATCTATTTGTTTGAATATTGGTTTTCAATTCTTTGGAGTATACTCCTAGGAGTAGAACTTCTAGGTCATATAGTTCATGTATTAATACTTCTATGCTTTTAAAGGAACCACCAAAATGTTTTCAACAGTGGCTGCAACATACCAGTAATAGATGAGTTCCAATTTCTCCACATCTTTGCCAATACTTATTTTCCATTAAAAAAAATTTTCCTAGTAGGCTTGAAGTGGTAAAAAATTTTCCTAGTAAGCTTGAAGCAAATCATTGTGGTTTTGATTTGCTTCTCCTGAAGGACTAATGATATGAGCATCTTTTCATGTACTCAGTAGCCATCTGTGTATCTCAATTTTTTAATAGAGTTGTCTTTTTGTTGTTGATTTGTAAGAATTCTTTACATATTCTGGATACTAGGCACTTTTTAGATGTATGATTCGGAATTATTGTCTTCCATTCTACAGGTTGTCTTCTCATTTTTAAAATAATGTCCTTTGATGCTTAAGAGATTTTAATTTTGATGAAGCTCAATTTATTTATTTTGTTGTGTTACTCATTCTTTTGGTGTCAATCTAAGAACACATTGCCAAATCCAAGGACATGATGACTTGCTTTAAATGTTTTCTTCAAAAGAACTTTACCATGTTAGCTCTTACATTTAGGTTATTAGTCTATTTTTGAATTAATTTTTGCATGTGGTGTGGGGTAAGAGTCTAACTTCACTTTTTTTACATGTGCATATTTGGTTGCCCCAGCACCAATTGTTGAAAAAGTATTATTTTCCTCATTGAACAGTGTTGGTACCCTTGTCAAAAATCAATTTGCCATAAATGCAT